TATGCGTGAGATGGTCGCCAAGGAAGTCAACCAAATGTTGAACGCAGGGGTAGGGTAAATCGAACCCGCGAGCACCGAGTAGGCGTCTCCCGTGGTGCTCGTACATAAGAAAAACGGCTCTCTTCGGTTCTGCGTGGACTACCGGCGTCTTAACGCAAAGACGGCAGCGGATTCGTACTCGCTGCCACGGATGGACGACTGCATCGATTCGCTCGGAGATGCAGCCGTCTTCACGAAGTTGGACTGCAATTTCGGTTATTGGCAGATCCCCGTCGCTCCGGAAGACCGGGACAAGACCACGTTCACTACGCACATGGGAACATTTCGCCATTTGCGTATGCCGTTTCCGCTAAAAGGGGCACCGGGCACCTTCCAACGTGCCCTCGACATCATCCTATCTGGCGTCCGATGGCAGATATGCCTCGTCTACCTGGATGACGTCATCGTGTTCTCCCGTACGCACGGAGAACACGCGAAGCATCTCGACACTGTCTTGAGCTTGTTGAGGAGCGCCGGAATCTCCCTCAAGCTCAAGAAGTGTACCTTCTTCCAACCGGAGGTGCACTACCTCGGGCACGTCATTTCCCCAGGTAAGCTGAGCGTCGCCGAAGCGGCGGCGGACGCCTTCAAGACGTTCACGTTTCCGAGGACGTTGACGCAGGTGCGCTCGTACCTCGGAGCGTGCAACCGCCTGTTGTAGTTCTACGACCACATGCAGACACGCATGACACACAACGACAGGTATGACACGTGTAAAATCGAAAACACTCCGCGTGACGAGCTGAGCAAGTTTTATTTTCAACGTGAACACGTGTGACTTCTAGAGTACTTCAGGAGCACGTTTGGTTTTCAACGTGTACACATGTGAAATATGTACACGGTTGCGGTGTACAGTACAATCTGAGCATGTTCATTTTCTTCCCCGACACGTGTATGACCTGGACACATGTCCTAATTACACTGTCTGTCGATATCATTCCGGTGCAATCGATCCGGAATGTTGCACAAGATTTGCTCTAAGATTCACTTCTGTATCTGCAACTAGACTACTGTATCCCCTGCCCTTTCGTTACCTTGATTCGGACAAGGTAACCCACATGGGGCGGGCGCGAAAGGACGGAAACTGAGATTGACGAAAGATCGTGGTTTCTACAGTGCTCCCCGTCTGTGTCAGCAGACGTGGCAGTAAGTTGGAGACAAAGAACCCGGAGCGACATAAAAGAGGAGATAGGAAAGACATAGGAGAGAGGGAGACATCAGAACCATCAAATAAACTTGTTCACGTATTGAACTACCAGTGCACGGCTCTAGGGAGCTACTTTCTGTTCTGTGACGGAAGACTTGCGACAAAACCGCATTTTGATCGACATTCGCGAATAAAGACAAGTGCACAAAATGAGCAGCAGTGTCCCGGGCGCAAGCCAAGACAATGCAGCAAACACCGACTCTAACGCTGCGGCAGAAAGAGTCATGGCAAACGCTGATCGTGGAACTCGCTTCTGGCGTGGTTTGCAACTGTCAAATGGGAGGCAAACTGGACTACGAAATTTGTTTGTCGGATACGAAGCACAAATGGAACTTGCAGGTTCAGAACTGAAGGAAATTTTAACTGAAGAACTGACACCGTCGGAATTCGCTCATCCCGGTATAATCATTAACCCGGAAATGTACAAGAGACTGCGTGCATTTCTTGAATCTCGAGGGATACAATGCAATTCGACCGAATGTTAGGGTCGACTCATTCCCCGCAGGGTCATTTGCGCTCTTTTTGAAAACGTTGATCGAGAAGGCTGCCTCAGGGCGCTTGCGAGATATGATGCCATCAAGAGAGGTGAGGACGTGATAATCACACCAAACGTCTCACCACAAAACCACATTGGACGCGAAAATCCTTTTGCCCAGGCGCATGAAAGCCCCCAAAGAAATCAGGTTCCAACGGATAACCACAAAGGGAAATTGTCGAAGATTTTTGCTGCCAATTTTCGAAACACATCTGACAAATTTTCGGGAGCTTTTAGAGGAGAACTGGCCTCGATTTCTGATGGCATACCAGCAGGTATCCGAAGAAGCTGGTGCCAATACCGAAGATAAGGTTCAATTCTTGCGTCACATTTTACGCGATGAAGCACTCGATTTCTACTACGACCAAGTGCTCGGCAAAGCACGAAGCTGGGGTACCGCTATTGCTATACTCAACGACGCATATTCATCAGAATCTAAGATGGATGCAGTTACGGAGCGCCTACGCTCCCTGACTTTTGCTGACTACAAAACAGACGGCCGTTCAGAACGTCAAGCTCTGAAAGAGCTTACCAAAGATATCGAGAAACTGTCCCCCATGGCGCACCCACAGTTGAGAAGTGACTTCCACAAGAGGTCTTTTGTAGAAGGCGCTGTACAGAACAGAGAATGGGCACTCATAGTTTCGACGAACCATGAAGTAATGAACATGCCGTACATACGCTATCGCACCACATTAGAAAAATTCCAAACCAAATGGAGTATTTTCGGAAACAACTCCTATTGAAAATGTGCGACCACATGCTGTTATCTGGAAAGTGCAAAATCGAGCGACACGTGTACATGACTCGACGGTCCGGACCCTCACCCCATATCACGACATGACACGTGTAAAGTCTCAGATTTTGGGGTTCTGGGGACGAAAGTGGACTTTTGGAGGGTCATGCAAATTTGCATAAATGCCGAAAATTTGCATTTGGCCCGAACCGTTATAGGGCTACACAGGCAATACTGCAAATCTATTGGGTGTCGGTTCGAATGCTGCAATTCTATTGGTCTGTTATTGTCCACTTATATGCACTCATGCTGGTGATATATCTTGAATGATCGGTATACGTTTTAATTACATCATTTCGGCGGTTTCAAGTTGTTCACCATGGTTGTAATGGGTAATTACGTGTGGCCTTGGCGCTGAACACTTGTGTGCGGTGTACACATGTACACATCGCCACGTTGCTGCGTGTACGTACACTTGTACACGTCGCCTACATACGGTCCGGCGCGTGTCCGAGCACAGTACATGTGAATTAAAAGTACAACAAGTATTTCTCGCAAGAGACATGTACTTACGTGAGTACTCAGTGTACGCGTCACGCTGTATGCGACCCTTGCATCAGCATGCGCCGTTGTACTACATTTTCGTCAGCATGCGACGTTGTACTGTGCTCTCGTTATGGTGCGCCGTTGGATGCAAGTTGATGACAGTACTCGTGTGATTCACATCGGATATCACGTGAGATGTGTAGAAAGTCTAGATGCACATTGTTGCTATCCGTGATAGTTGTCTGGCAGTGTGTACCGAAATTAGTAAGGTACAAAACAAGGGCATGTATGGGGACTGAGATATGACAAGACTTTGCGTTGTTGGAAATAGAGAGATGCCAAGTTGTTCATTGTGCAAGAATATATTCTGTCATGTCTGGATGCAGATTAGTAAGGTGTGAAACGATTGCATGCATAGGGCCATGGTTTACAGTCACGGGAAATGTGTAGAAACTGTTGTGCACTGATAGTCAATAGTCAATTCGTAAGGTGGAAATAGAACAGTGTGGACGGGCCAGAAGAGGACCGCGCTTGGTCGCGCATATGGTGAGTACGGTTTACCAGGTGCCAAAGTAATGGGATAGTGTAGCACTCAAAGTGTATAAGTATCGCCGAAAGACGGCTCCAAGTAAACTTCGGTACCAACTCCTTCACTCACACACATCAACCTGCCCTCCTCCTTTCCCTTGCCCCTCCGAACCTACCATTAGGTTATGGGCCCAGTCCCTCGCTGTCGTTTCACTGCATGAGTCTGTCGTTCTCGTTCCGTTGTTTCTGCCGTCGTTGTCGCTGTCGTTTTCGCTGCCGTTTCTCGTCGTTCTTTCCGCTGGTCTTCTCGCTGTCGTTGTCGCTGTCGTTCTTGCCGTCGTTCTTGGTTTTGGTTTTCGCTGCTGCTGTCGTTCTTGCTCTCTTGTGTGCATTGGTTTTGGTCATCGCCCCCGCTGTCTTCGTTGTCTTCGTTCTTGGTTTGGCTTTTGTTCTTGCTGTGGTTCTTGCTGCTGTCTCTTTCTTTGGTCTTCGCCTTCGTTTCCGCTCCCGCTACCGCCGTCGTCGTCAATTTCGCATTTGGTTTTTCTTCGTTCTCTCATGCAAAGTAAGTTTTGAGTTTCTTTTCATTTCCTACACATCTAAGTGATTGTCTTTGCACGTTTTGGTGGTTCTTAAGAGCAATAATTCCAAAATCTGTTACTGACGATTATCTTCATATTCCTTATTGTGAATACCTGTTTTTACGGGGTTGTGTTAGATCTGGAATTAGTACCGGTGCGCTCTGCGCCTGGGAAGCTGGTCACCGGTCCAACGGTTCGGACATCGGAGGTCGTATCCGTTGAGGTGCTTGAGCCTGAGGATCAACCTTCACCTCGGCTCGCGCTTCCGGGTCCGTCCTCGAGTAGCGCACCATATAGGATTCCTCGTATTCCGCGCTCTGTTCCCGCACCAATAAAGAGAACTACGCATCGACTTTCTGCTCGGAAAGCAGCTGTTCTCGCGGATAAAGAGTTTCAGCGTGAGCGCAAGAGGAATCGTAAGGTGTGCCCGCGGTATAAGCGGTATTGTAAAGTGTGCGGTGTGCGGCGTTAGTGGCAATAGTGCGAAGGCCTTTTACGACCACATTCAGTCTAGGTCTCATCGCATTCAAGTTGCCAACGCTAAGAAGACTCCGCGTTGTATCCCTTGCAATCGCGTCTTTGAGTCTCACGGGCACCTGAAGTGCCACGAGAACGGTGCCGCACACTTAAAGGTAGTTTGTGAACAGAATAGTTAGGGATTTCATCCAAATAAATTCACATATCTGTTCGCAAATTTCTCCTAGTGCAACTTCATAGTAGTCATATCGAATTTCTTAGACGGGTGGGCTTGCCATTGTGTTGACTATCGGTTAACGGCTTGGGATCGCCGAACGGATTTTCGAATACTTGAAGTTTATTTGCACTAAAATGGAAGATCAAGGAGGAGGAGGATCCATCAGAATCGACAAACTGACGGACTCCAACTTCTACGTGTGGAAGCAGAAAATACAACTTCTGCTTGCTCTACGTGATGTTGACCAATACATCGTTGAGGGAAGAGTTCCAAGTGAGGAACGCGCGGAAGAGCGTAAGAAGTGGATCAGAGGTGACAGTAAAGCTAAAGCACTGATTGGTCTCTCCCTATCAGATGAGCATCTTGAGTATGTACGTGATGTTGATACTGCTCATGACATGTGGGAAGCTATTGTCAACGTGTTTGAGAGGCACACTTTGCTGAACAAACTAGCTGCACGTCGTGAGTTCTACACTGTGAAGATGTTTTCCGGTGAAAAGGTGCTTGCATACATCAATCGTGTCAAGCAGCTGGCAGCCATCCTCAAGTCAATGAGCGTAAACATCCATGACAAGGAGATGGCCATGGCAGTGCTCAACGGTCTGCCTGCCCGTTTCCAGGCTCTCATCGTTGCACTTGATGCTCTCGGTAATGAGGAAAAGATATTCAGTTTGGACTTTGTGAAAAGTCGTCTGCTGCAGGAAGAGCAACGAGCCAACATGAAGTCTAGCTCCTCACAGACATCGGCTCTGGTTAATCGTGCCCCGAACAATCGGGACATAAACGATTACAAATGCACGAACTGCGGTCATACAGGCCATACAGCAACCCGGTGCTGGGGAAAGGATTCGAATGGGCGTCGCCCGGCTCCTCCTAGCGGATATAAACCGCGTATGTCTCAGCGGAAACAATCTGCATTTGTCACACAGAAACCTGATCCCGACATGGTTGTAAACAGCGTCGACTTCACATGTCTGATGTCGAAAGCTTCGCACACGAACGATATGGAGATGTCCCCTTCGTGGCTCGTAGATTCAGCTTGTACAGCTCACATTACATATGACCGATCTCTGTTTGCAACGTATGAGCCACTTGATTCCGCCTCTGTTCAGATGGGAACCAAGGCTAGTGCGAAGGTTGCCGGCCGTGGTGACGTTCACTTGAAGTTAAATGTGAATGGCCGCATCGAACCGTGCAAGTTGACGGATGTATTGCACGTTCCGGACTTTGCGTTCTCTCTGCTCTCTGTCAGTCGAATGACTGAACTTGGACTAAAAGTTGGGTTCGAAAATGGAAAATGCATGATCAGACGAGGCTCAACTGTAGTGGCGACTGCGACATTGGTTGGAGAACTTTACGTTCTCGACATCGTCAGTGACATCGGATCTGCACATGCTGCCACCCTGCAAACGTGGCATGAGCGCTTCGCACATGTGCATTCTCAAGGTATTGCTTCGATGATTCGTGACAATGTGGTAAGTGGAGTCAAACTACTTGGTAATGAGGCTAACAAAATCAACAATACTGACAATGATTGCATCTCTGAAAAATGTTCTGCGTGCGTCTACGGCAAAGCCACTCGATCTGTGATCCCAAAAGAGCGGTCCTCGAGGCGGGCATACTTCTGTCTAGATTTAGTTCACTCTGATGTTTGTGGCCCCTTAGAGGTGCAGTCCAATGGTGGTGCCAAGTACTTCATTACCTTCATAGATGATCACTCAAACTGGTCAGTAGTGTACCCTATGCACCATAAATCAGAAGCATTTGAACGATACAAAATGTTTGCACAACTTGCTCAGACTCACACTGGTCGCAAGATCAAAGTGCTTCGCACCGATCGAGGTGGTGAGTATCTGTCCACGGAGTTTAAGTCTTTTCTGATTGCAAATGGTACTCAGCATCAAATGACGACCGCGTACACACCGGAGCAAAATGGCGTGGCCGAACGACTGAACAGAACTTTGGTAAACTTGGTGCGCTCCATGCTAGCGCACAAGAAAGTTACAAAGGGGTTCTGGGCAGAAGCACTTGCCAATGCAGTGTACGTTCGAAATCGAGTCACGTCACGTGCCATTCCCCCTAAGATGACTCCATACCACTTATGGATGAAATCTGTGCCAAATGTTGGTCATTTGCGTGTTTTTGGTTCAAAGTGTTGGTATACATTACCAAAACACAACATCCAGAAACTTGACGCCCGTGCAAAGGAGGCAATGTTTCTGGGGTATGCTGAAAATACGAAAGCTTACAAGTTGTGGGATGGTGATTTGCACAAAGTGATCGTATCCAGAGATGTTACTTTTGACGAGTCCACGGGAGGCAAATCTGGTGAACCGATGGATACAAACGAGGAAGCTACAACGGATGATGACACAATCAACTTGAACATCGATGAGGAGGGTACAGAAAATAATGCAGTGGCATCGGAAGCATCATCGCCGAATGAACAACAAGACTCCGATGAATCCTCCAACTGCTCCCCAACTGCAGGGGAGAACGAAACCACCGAAACAGTTGACCAACACGTAGTTGAGGAAGAAATGATTGATCCGCCAACTAATCTCCGTCGGTCCACTCGCGTTCGCAAAACGCCTGGGGCGTGGTGGGCAGTATAGAAAGGTCAGCGGGGCAGAGGGAAGAAGGATGGTTGAAGGTTGCTGGTGGTTGACGGGAAAAGAAGTTGATGCCATTTTACTCTTGGTCGCCAACTATTGGCGCTACTTATACTCTTCGAACTACATACAATACGAGCGATTAGGGCTGGTCACGTGACTCTCCTTCTTGCACTCGTTGATAATCAAGTGACTCTCCCTGTTGCACTCTCGGTTGATAATCAAGTGACTCTCCTACTTCCACTCTCGGTTGATAATCAAATGACTCTCCTTCTTGCACTCTCGGTTGATAATCAAGTGACTCTCCTACTTCCACTCTCCGTTGATAATCAAATGACTCTCCTTCTTGCACTCTCGGTTGATAATCAAGTGACTCTCAATAATATCTGAATGTACTGTACTGTAGATTACAGATTTTACACTACGATTAATAACCACTGTGGCACATACGTCATACGTGTCACACACGGGTCAAATCGAGAAAAATGAAACATGTTCAGAATGTACTGTAGAGTGCCACGAGGTACATAGCTTACACGTGTCAACACCAAAATTGAAACATGCTCGGAAATGATAGGAAAGTGCAACCGTGTACAAATATGACACGTGTCTACGTTGAAGACCAAACATCCTGAAAATGCTCTTGCAAGCATTTTAGGTTTCGTCGACGTACACGTGTAATATCTGTCAGGCTTGGAGCTTAGCATGTGGTCGAAGATTTCCAACACTCCCCCTCGATCACATGCTTTTACTGGACACGGCAAGCCCCAGAAGTTCTACAAACTTCTGGAATAGAATTCGCCCAAGTGCTTTGGTTAAGATATCGGCAGGCATCGAAGTGGTTGGACAATGCGACAAATACGCAATGTTTCTCTTAATAGCATCTCGTACGTAGTGGTATTTTACATCAACATGTTTGCTGCGACGGTTGATCGATTCATTCTGTGCAAACGAAATGGTCCCTGCATTGTCACACCCCATCATGATCGTGGGATCAGAATCAAGTCCGAGGACATCAGCAACAACTTGACGCAACCAGGTCCCTTCCTTACACGCTTCACATAGTGCAATGTACTCAGCTTCACACGTCGAAGTCGCAACCACAGTCTGTTTCCGGGAACTCCAACTGATAGCTCCACCACAGAACTTGAAAACATATCCGCTGGTCGACTTGCAAGAGTCTGTGTTGGAAATCTTCGACCACATGCTGAGCTCCAAGCCTGACAGATATTACACGTGTACGTCGACGAAACCTAAAATGCTTGCAAGAGCATTTTCAGGATGTTTGGTCTTCAACGTAGACACGTGTCATATTTGTACACGGTTGCACTTTCCTATCATTTCCGAGCATGTTTCAATTTTGGTGTTGACACGTGTAAGTTATGTACCTTGTGGCACTCTACAGTACATTCTGAACATGTTTCATTTTTCTCGATTTGACACGTGTGTGACACGTATGACGTATGTGCCACAGTGGTTATTAATCGTAGTGTAAAATCTGTAATCTACAGTACAGTACATTCAGATATTATTGACTCTCAAACGGTCCCAAATTATTAGCAAGAGAGAGTGCAAGAAGGAGAGTCATTTGATTATCAACGGAGAGTGGAAGTAGGAGAGGAGAGTCAATTGATTATCAACCGAGAGTGCAAGAAGGAGAGTCATTTGATTATCAACCGAAAGTGGAAGTAGGAGAGTCACTTGATTATCAACCGAGAGTGCAACAGGGAGAGTCACTTGATTATCAACCGAGAGTGGAAGTAGGAGAGTCACTTGATTATCAACCGAGAGTGCAACAGGGAGAGTCACTTGATTATCAACCAGTGCAAGAAGGAGAGTCACGTGACCAGCCCTAATGGCTCGTATTGTATGTAGTTCGAAGAGTATAAGTAGCGCCAATAGTTGGCGACCAAGAGTAAAATGGTATCAACTTCTTTTCCCGTCAACCACCAGCAACCTTCAACCATCCTTCTTCCCTCTGCCCCGCTGACCTTTCTGTAGGTTATGGGCCCAGTTCAACGCTGATCGTCGTCTTCGTTTTGGTTCAAGTTCGAGTTTCGCCGTCGTTCAAGTATCAGTTTGTTCAGCTCGTCAAGCAGAAGAAGAAGGTATCAGTTTCAGTCTCCGCTTTCGAGTTTGGTTTTTCAGTTTTTTCAGTTTTGGCCGTCGTTTTCAGCACGGTTTCTGCCGATTTTTCAGTTTGGTGGTCCGTCAGTTCCCAGTTTTTGGAAATCAACTTTGTGGTCTTGCAGCTTTTAATGGTAGGTCAGCGGGGCGAAGGGGATTCGAAGGACGGTTGATGAGGTGAAGTTGAAGGATTGGGTACCGATTTACTTTGAGTCGCCAACTTCTGGCACTACTTATACACTTCTGCAATCTTCTAGAACTCTACTACCAAACACTACGACACACATACTACAAATGTATTGGCTCTAACACATGTGCCCGTCTTGCTACTCAGCCGAACTGGCGATGGCCCAACAAACAGAACAGAAAACCGCCTTACGAATTAGCACTGTCATGACGGAGAAATTAGTAAGGCAGTACAACAAAGCACAGCAAAGCACAAATTCCCTTACTATTCCAAATCCAGCGTGGCACAAATTCGTAAGGCACGTTTACAGCTCACACGTTGCCTTACGAATTCAAATCAATCCTGCAAGGACTGTTTACAGCGCACACGTTGCCTTATGAATCTGAATCTCTCGTGAGGTCCTGTCCAATGTCAATTACAACAGTGCACATTTTGCCTTACGAATTCAAAACTCGCGCAACGGTATCTTTGTGTCCTGCTGTACCCGTGCTGCACTCCATGGACGCTGTCAACCTTTGGCACGTGCCAGGCACCCGCCACCAAGGTTCTACACTTTGTCTGTAAGTCTGCAGGCGTACTGTACGCGTCTGACAGTGTAATGAGGACATGTGTACAGGTCATACACGTGTCGGGCGAAGAAAATGAAACATGCTCAGATTGTACAGTACACCGCAACTGTGTACATATTTCACACGTGTACACGTTGAAAACCAAACTTGCTCCTGAAGTACTGTAGAGTGCAACCGTGTATAGAAATCACACGTGTACACGTTGAAAATCAAACTTGCTCAGCTCGTCACGCGGAGTGTTTTTGCTTTCACACGTGTCATACCTGTCGTCGTGTGACATGCATATCAGCATGTGGTCGTAGAATTACAACAGCTTTGTCGTGGCAGTCGTTGTGTGAGCTGTGGGTGAGCCTTCCCCTTGTCGGGAGGAAGAATGTCCCTAGTGGCCAACGCACTGCCAAATCCTCACTGGTCCGTCAGTTCTCAGATTTTTGCTTTGTCGTGGCAGTCGTTGTGTGAGCTGTGGGTGAGCCTTCCGCTAGTCGGGAGGAAGAAAGTCCCTTCGATCACGCCGGTGATCGTCGTAGCTGCCGATACCCTCGCTCTTGGTGAAAGGCTTGTGCCATTGGAAATCTGACTTGAGCGAGGGTCCGACCAAGAATCGTCGAGAGACGAAACACTGATCCTCGGGGAGGATCACAGTGTACTGGTCTAGTCGATCCGCACTCTGCCTTCGGGAGGTGCGTCGGCGGTGTGGGTAACGCTCTCGGTATTAGCCCTATAGGTACGACTTCGGTCCCCTGGGTGAAGAGAATACGTGCCTAAACACTGAACCTCTCACTATACGTGTATAAGGTCGCGTACCTTGATTAAGTTCGCACGGAAGAGGGTGACCCAAGGAGTGATTGTGAACAAATCACACGAGTACGACGAAGGCAGTTTCATTCTTGTGTTGTGGGAGACCCTCTGAGGCAGTACCGTATCAAGTTTGGACAAGCCGATTTAGGTTGCAGGGACCGTTCGCGGTAGTAACCAAAAGTCCTGGTTCGTCTACAGGCAAAGTTGTTGTGCTTACTCGTGGTACGTTTGATTTAGTTCACAGTCGAAAGACCCGCACTGGCCGACATATAGGGGTAGCGCCCTAAGGCATTTTTAAGAAGAATACGCTTGTTCCACTCCGCCGGGAAAAAGCACCAAGAACGTTTCCGAGTAATCGCTACAAACGTCCTATACGGGTGGGCTTGCCATTGTGTTGACTATCGGTTAACGGCTTGGGATCCCGGAACAGAAGACCTTGTATACTCGAAGGGTACATCCATTCGGCGAAATGGATGATCAAAGCTCTGGATCGGTCAGAATCGAGAAGCTGACCGCATCTAACTTTTACATCTGGAAGCAGAAAATCGAGCTACTGCTAGCTGTCCGAGATGTCGATCAATACGTTTTTGATGATATATCGGAAAATGCGACCTCAGATGATCGCAGGAAGTGGATTCGTGGTGATGCGAAAGCAAAGGCAGTCATCGGACTCACGCTTTCTGATGACTACTTGCAACATGTGCAAGGGTGTAGCAGTGCGAAAGAGACATGAGAGGCGATTCTGAATGTGTTTGAGCGTCACACTTTGCTCAACAAACTTTCCGCCCGTCGCGACTTTTACACCGTTGCCATGCTCCCATCCGAGAAAGTGCTCGTGTTCATCAATCGTGTGAAGCAACTTGCTGCCAGATTGCAGTCAATGAGTGTTGAGATTGACGATAAAGAAAGTGCAATGGCTGTGTTGAATGGCTTGCCTCCACGATTCGATAACTTGATTGTTGCACTTGACGCACTTGGCAATGAGGATAAAGTGTTTGGACTCGATTTTGTGAAGAGTCGTCTGCTGCAAGAGGAACAACGAGAGAGCATGAAGACCGCTTCTACTACTTCACCCCACGCACCTGCACTTGTCAATCGCATGCCTATTCGACGTGATATGAGATGTACGAACTGTAATCGACATGGACACACCGCAGCACGTTGCTGGGGCAAGGATGTGAATGGGCGCCGACCAGCACCGCCAGACGGGTTCCGGTCCCGCAACCCCGGCATGAAGCCAAGTGCATTCGTATCTCGAGATGAAACTTCTACTGCTGCCTTTGCTGAAAGCGACTTTACATGCCTGCTTTCGACTTCTTCTC